TTTTTAAATTTTTTATGTTCTTGTTTGTGTTGATTTTTTTATAATATTTATAATATTTTTTCAGTTACAATTGTGATGCTTCGATTTTACACAAACAATAAGTTTCTTTATTATTGTTGTCATTGTTATGATCTTACAGCATTAAGTTATGAGGGACAGCACTGATTGAATTGAAAAGATATGGTGAAGGAATATCTACTATACTGATGACAAGTGAAATGAATACTATAGTCTTGACGTGAATCCTTGTTCAAGAAGCTCTATCTTCCCAGCAATCCTGTATCTATTCCTGCAGGTTCTTCCTGTTGTCAAGTTCATATATATATCATTAGTATTATAACATTAATTAATTGTTTTGTGTTTTTGAAATAAAATAATTCATTACACACTTGATATATGCAAGATTAATACCTTCTCTTAGCTGGAAACCTCCACTAAGTATTGCAATTTGATTCCAAGCATAGCTAGCCTAGCTAAAATACTTGCTGTTCCCAGTTCTGAGATCTGAGCATGCGCGACCACGCCCAATTTTTTGGAGCACATGCTTCTTAATTAACAAAATGGCGGCATGAGGTAAGCTGGTGCGATCCAACAGTCACAGTATCACTTCTTCCTTTCTTGGAGAATGATTCTAGGGGACAAGGACCTGCGCATACCCTGTTGGAGTAGAATGGTATAAGAATTAGCCTTATATCACCAGGTAAGACTGATATATCGACCGACAACTGGATTGACAGGAGATCATGATGATGATGATGATGATGATGATGATGAAGATGAAAAAAGGTGGCTGAACAAAACGGCCGGTTTGCAGATTTTTGATTTTTCTCCCAGAAAAGGTCTAGAGCCACGCTAGTGGTACCATTGGAGTCCTCTGGTCAAGATAAGGTCCTCTAAGAAGTCTGGTAAGCATAGGAGCCCGTTTTCCCGGTATAGCAAGGCTGCAAAAGTCGTGGCAGCCATTTTGTTTGGGGGTGAATCCTACTTAGTAACGCTACCGCGTTACTAATAGTGTTTTACATGTACATATACATGTTCTTATGTTGTAAAGAAAGTTTGAGTTGATTCCAATCACATTTGGATTTTTTATGAATTTTTTAAGTTGCTCCAAAATCGGACAAAAGTCCCTGTACAGGGACTTTGGCTAAACTTCACAAAAATTGAAAATGAGAGAATTCCTTAATTTTATTACACTTTTCCAATATGAATACAAGTTCTTGTGTCGGTAGACACTGAGAGTTAATTCAGAATACATTTATGACTAAATCTTAAAAATAACTTATTCCAATTAATGCCCATTAAACTCACCACTTCCATTCAACCCCACCAGTCCGTATCTCCGCCCACAATTCAATTCTAATTTAGCGTCGGACAGTAACTCGGCTCCATGAAAGGTCAGTGATAGACTCTCAATGTGTAGATCACGTGACAGTGGGTGTGACGTCAGTACGCTGGTAGTTGATCTATGTGATGTTGAACCAGCTCCTGCTGGTTCCAATGAGGCCCCACCCACTGATCCTTTACTCTTCCCCCCTCCTTTGGCTGCTAGCTTCTTGGCCTTTTGCTGCTGGCGCTTTTTAGCAGCATCTGAAGGCATTTCCTCCTTTCTGGTTTAACAGTACACGTGGGTAGGTCAATGGGTGCGGTATAGACTATTATCAATAACTATTAATAACTACTTTGCTGCACACGTACACTGCACGTGCTGTGTTCATTCAGGGTCTTTTGTTAGGTTCTTTCAACTAATTCTACAGATACCAATAGTGATGGGGTTTGGTGATTTAAGGTCTTCTGCTGGTCTTCAGTCTCTTAATGAATATTTATCTGATAAAAGTTACATTGAAGGGTAACTCTACCATACATTAATTATCATGTCCTCCCTCTCTCTCTCTCTTCTAGTTAT